ACTGAGTCAGAAAAAGAACCCACATCTCCTGGTGCTCAGTGTCATTTCTTCTGCACAGAAAGGCACAGCCAGAGAAGTACGAGGCTCTGCCACAGGACCCGGCCCAAGGATTCTGTTCAATTCAACAGGATCCCGAACAAAAACGTAAGAAAACTCCAACAGTCTACTTTATTCTATAGGGTTTTGCCTAAGGAAAATTAAAGGCATCGTTTTCCCAAGCTGTCTCATATACACACATGACTATAAACAAGCAATGCAAGCTTGCTTGCTCTTTGAAAGGCAGCAGCTGTGTTGTTCCAAAAATCCCTCCTGAATGTAAACATATTAGCACTGTATAAACAGCTTGATTTAACAAGAAATGCAATACAATATTCCTGCTTTGTCTTTGGGATCACGATGTTGGTGGTGGCAATAATTCAGAGGTGAATTATGGTATCTGTTCAAAAGAAAGAAAAAGAAAACTCTCCAGCTATAGTTGTGAATTAATTTCTTCCTCTTAGCTGAAAATGAGAAATGGCTATAATTTAGTTCCAATTTAAAAGTTGCTGTTGGCTAAACTCTAAAATCTTAATTGCTTCTTAATATTCTCTCCTTATTTTTCCCTTTGAAACCACAGTCTATAACAATGTAGTGTTTAGATTAAAAATCAGAATAGAAAACAGTGGAAGGTCACTCCCAAAATATGTTTGTTTTTTTCTAAAATGACAGAACTTAATGTGTATCGAAGTATTTTAGTTGATTTCCCAACTCTAGTCACCCTCCTGCAGCTCTGTGAAAAAGAAAGTGGCACTGACCCTGGGTTTCCCTTAACGTGCCAATACTCAGGACTTGTCCAATTTGCAATAGAACATAGTGGAAGTGCTAGAAAAGACATGTTTCAAGCCATATTATGGCTCAGCATGCTATAGGAACTCGCCTTGTTGCAAAAAAACTGAAGTCACACTCAATCCCTAAATAGTTTGGAGGTCACTACCAAACACACTCTGCAATTCTCAGAGCTTGGAGAAAAGGCTGTGAGAATAACAGTGGCAAAGACTGCAGACAATCCAAGTCAAATTTTAAACTGACCTTGAAGAACTGCAAAAGGATCTCATGATACTGAGCCTGGTTATAAAATCACAGATGCAAAACAAATGCCCAGAAACACAAAAATAACGTGCTCGGGAAACTGCACCTCACAATGCACACGTTTTAACAGGCTCTAGATGAGCTAGTAGTGCTCCACCAGAAGATCCTAAAATCCCAGTGAATAGTTCTCAGAAACATTCAGTGGTTGTCCCCACAGCACACAATTTCAGGAACCAGTATGAAAGGAATAAAAGCAGAAAAAGAAATACCACTGTGCCACTGCAGAAGTGAACAGCAAATCTACGTGTCGAGTAAAATGAGGATCTGGCCTCCTCATCTCTTCTGTCTGCTAAGACTCAAATTCTCGACTTGATGCTAAAAGAAATCAGTTTCAAGCACTAGTGGTCCTGGGAGCAACAGTCCTCTTCATCATGGCCATGACAGCTCAAGGATCATCCAGGCCAGCTTTTCCTCAAGACGAACCAAAGATGCACAGAAGCAAACTTAAACCACAGCCGTCATTGTCCCTCCTGCCCAGGAAGCCCAACTGCCAACCAGACCCAGCGGGCGTCATGGCTCTTGGTCATCCCGCGATGGTGCTCTCCTCATTGTTCTGGATAAAAGGCAGTGCCATTTTTGCAGCTTCATTATGCTGACCTAGTTTATTTTCCACTCTGCCAACTTAAAATCTCACAGCACTCTTTGCACAGCAGTGCCATTAAAAGTACTAAATTCAGGGAACTTTAGTAGGAAGGTAATTCAGAGCTGCTGCTTGCCTGCAAGTTCTCAACCCTTTTCATTACTGAGATGGCCATCATGCTAAAAAGATGGAAGTGACCCTTTCTCTTCAACATCAATCATATCCTTTTGCCATTTGTCCAGGATCCACATGGAAAAGGAACTGAGAACATCAAATTACCTCTGCAAATAAGGCAGTCTTGTTCAGAAATGGCACAAATCATTTCCAAATATATTCAATTACAAGAAATCTCTAATGAACACAGCATGGAAGCTCAACAGATAAAGAAAGGAAAAGCTTCATCAAACAATGACTGCTTCCTATCACTTTCCTTTTCAGATAAAGGGAACAGAAAATGAAGCTTTTTTAAAACAAGGCATCATGATAAAACTTTTTTCATTCCTGTATCACAGAATGAGTTACAAAGGATCCAAACAGAGTTAAAACGCTTTGCCAAGCCTTCACAAGCAACTTCCCTAACTCCTTATTTTGGTCCCAGGATAATACAGCATCGATGCAACGCAAACAAGCAGAAGGCTTCTCTCCGCTTCATTGTTCTACTTATGTCACCTCTGGTCTCAAATCATCTAATCCCACAAATGCTCAAAAACGCAAAAGTGAAAATATCATTTGTTTTACCCTCAAAACATATTGCTAAAGGGTAACTATGTCTCTTCTGCATTTTCTAGTTCTCTGGGTTTTGTTTTGTAATGCTTTTCCTCACACAAACACAAAGAACCGCTGTGCAAGAAAAGACCCCTTGGTCCAGCATGCCTGTCCCCTTGAGGCTTATCCTTTCATAACAAGTGTCTCTCTGCTGTGCACTTCAATACCATGTTTCCCTTACTGAAAAATCTGTCTCAAACTCGTTTTCATGCCATTTGCTTTGATGGTGTTATTTAGCAAATTATTCCATATGTTGCCCATTACATTTTAAGCTAAGTGTTTCTTCCTGAAAATCCAGATCCCTGTTCCTTTCAAACTTGTAAATTAGACTCTGCAGTGTTAGAGGATCTGTTTTTTCCTTACTTTAAAACACTCACAGAGATAAACATTTTATTTTTCCTGAGGAAAGGTAATCACACTGAAAAGGGCACACAAAATGCTGTGTTGCCGCTTCAATGACACGGTCTGCACAATGTGAAATGTTACAGTGGACAATTTGTGTTCTAGTTGCTTGTTGATTTACCCTAAAACACACGTTTACTTTTTTTATACACTCTCTGTATTTGCTAAAAAAATCCTCAGAACTATGAAGGTAGACACAGGAGACTATTTTGAAGCTATTACGCATGTGCTCTCAAGTTTGTTTATTGTTCCTCAATTTGTTGCCTCATAGTTATCAAAAAACTTTGACTACTAAATGACATACTTTCCATGTCTATATTCATTTTTCATCTCTACCTTTTTTTTTAGTACCAATTATACACGAAAAATTTGATCCACTGCTGTCAAGGGTATTAATGACAATGCTCGTAATTTTACCAAAGCTACTGATGAATGTTAACTACTCATGCATATTACAGAGAGTAGATAAGAAACAATTACTGTCCATATGCAAAATAGCAAACATTACTGGAAAAGTAATTTGGTTTCAGCTAAACTCTTTGTTCATGTATCTTCCTTGATTTATGTACGTGTTTGTTATTATGAAGGAAATAAAAATTTTATGAGGTGGATGGTTAAGAATTTTGAAGATAGAAAGTATTCAACTTTAATTAACATATCTTAATTTCAGACTCAAGTAATATTATGATCTATAATAGAAGCCAGTATTTATCAAAAATTAGTCTCTAACTATTGGTCACTAAGTCAGTACTTTCCAACTTCAATATCTTCTTGGGGATGAGTGAATTAAACACTAATTTTGCAATTATTTCTCTCGATCCATTAGTGAAATTGCAGGAAATGTAAATGTTTTCCAAACAATGAGAGGTACCAATATTCTTCTTGATAACACCGGTTAGCATTTTATTTCCAAACCTTTCCTCCTTAGAAGAGCATTTTGTATCAATGCTAGATAAATAATACTAACCCCTCATTACAATGCTTCAGGATATACCATACTCTGCAAGGGCTTGCTGGTATGAATATGACCAAGTTTAGACCTTCAAATGAAGAAAATACATATTGAAGGCCAGGACACTACAACGGGATCTTCAGAACCTTTCCAATTTCAGCTTTTGTGCACATTATCACTGCAATTTTGTTCACTGCCTTACTGCAATGGTGTTAATTACTTGCAAATGTTAATAGAAATTATTTTCACAAGACTACTGTAATCTATTTATTAATATTCTTTCAAATGTTCCCAGCCTCAACAATTTGGCCAATTAATTATCAGTGAAATGGGCGTACTAAAAAACAGCTTGGTAGATTTTTAATTGATTCTGCAAATACAATGATCAATGGACTGCTATTTCTCATCAAAGCTACTTTTCTGTGTCCTATCTAATCAGATTTTGAAATAATTCCTCAATACCTTCTATGAGGCTAATCCCTGGTTCATTTTCACTACCAGACAAATGAGGTGTCTTTGGGTTCTGGTTCTGGCACAAGAAGGTGCTGCAGGTTTTAATTTACTGTAAATCAAAGGGAGACGGATTCGTTGATGCTAATCCTAGTCTCCACCACCGAACCAATGCCCATTGGTGTAAAGGACAGTATCTCTTTGTAAGAGACAATCTTTACTCTCAAGACCTTGCAGGCTGCACTTCTGGACACTTCACCAATGCTAAAGAACTCCTACTCAGAGCATTGCTATGTAACATGAAACAAGCTTGTCCCCCTTTCTTGAAGTACAGTCAAACGAAGAAAAGAACCGCTGCAGATCACACAGGTCTGTGTCAAAGCCATTGGGCTTTTCTTCCATGACCACCTTTCCTGAAGGCCAAGACAAAGATACATTTTAATAGCTGTAATAGAGGGACTAATTGTGAAAATATTTGTCAGCATTACAGCTAGCTCTACCATTGCTAGAGCTCTACCAAGCTCATCTTCGTGACACAAAAATCAATATTTAAGACAGCTGAACAGTTAACCAACAGAGCTGTTCTAGCATCCAGAGAGTTATCTAATGCATTTATCACCGTAACATCTAATAAAACAAAAAACACAGGCCCACATTAAAAAACACCACCTGAAATGTGTTTTAAATCACAATCAGTTCCCAATCGAAAGGAAACAGGCTCACCTCCAGTAGACAAGCACAGCAATAAGAAGAATGAGGCACACGAAGGTCAGTGCTGAGACCACAATAAGCGGGATGATCCATTCCATTTTACCAGGAGAAGGTCTCGTGGCCATGCTGGAGCTGTTCTTGTCAGCTGTGTGTTAAACACATAACAAAAACAATCATTAAATGGAAAGAGAACTACTGTATGGAAAAATGTGTAAACAAAACAAAGAGCTTGTCCGTTTTACATGGTACAAGTAAACAGAGCAAAGATCTTCTAACTGCGGGGTGGGACTCCATTTGTCTTTCGTCTGAGACATGAGAGCACAAAAGTATGGTGTTTATTGCCACATATGGCTTGGATTTCACTACTGCCTGTAATTACAGGCTCATAGACAATTTTAGGACTTTATCGTGCAAGCACCTATTATCAGATGTGGAGTACCCCACTGAGTCATTTCACCACAGTAACAAACGCTGTGCTCGGTCACCAGTGTTTGCAGATAAATGCACTCTGTTTCTCAACACTACAGGACAGCCCTGTTTGCAAAGCTCGGTGTAATACTTTGCTTCAGAAATAAATTTCTTGGTAACTATCTTAAAATAAAAAAATCCTCAACATGTTGGGTGTCATGTCACATCATTTGCAGAATTGTCACAATCTGGTGAGTTACTGCATACGAAAGCACTTTTTAGCATATGGATTGTCAAGATGGATGGATGAATGAATGGATAGGACGTGTTGTAACTGACAGAAGAAATCATTATGCCACAGCTTTTGAACAAAATTAAAGTTGGTCAATATCCTGAGATCTGGCCGAGTAACTCTGTTTCACTTTTCACATGACATCTTGTTAAAATTACTGTATCATATATGAGATGAATATCTAGAGGTTCTGCAAGTACTGGAGCCAATGAGTATAGACACTGTATCAACGTATTTCAAAAGACATCTAATTTGTGCAAATTCATGTAGACTTGACAAATAAATTGCTTTAGACAGAATGATAAAAGAAAAATACAGAAGTGGATTCTGTATCTTATTCATGTTTCCTAACAAACAGGCAGTAGTTGATCAATACCTGTCAACAGGATATAATGGGAAAGGATTAGTGTAAACAGCTTCAGACTTCAACAAGGATTGAAACATAGGCACTTGACTTCTACTTTTTAGCCTACATGAGTCTTTCCTTACCAATGTGCTTCCTTGCCCTCATTCAGTATTGTATTATCATATCTTCTGAAACTGCTGCAAATCCTACCAGAAGAACATAATTGCCTTTTCACCATAGGCAGGCAAAACACAGATAATTGGAAGTCACCAGATGTCACATAATATGAAGTCATACTCTATTTTAATAGCATTTAGATTATACTCCTCCATAGGCAGGAGTAAAATTCAACTAACATGGAAGTAAAGGTTAATTGTAAATGCTTTTGCCTGACTGCTGAAAACAGAGCAAGGCTGCAGGCTGCTGCAAGCCCAGCAAGAAATCTTTCTAGTTTTAAGAACTAGGCTGATGGAGGTAATGCCCTTTAGCAAGCAGCCTAAATGAGGTGCTAATCAGAGGGATGTTTGGGGGAAGTGAACGTGCACTGAGTATAGAACTGATCAAAAGAGAGATGAGTAGCCCGTTGTCTCCAATTTCAGTAAGAAAGGCTACCGAGGTTACCAACAGTGCCTCTTTGCAGAATAGGCGCACAACATTGTACCTCGAGCATGCGGTGAGCTTTCGTCTTCACAGCATACTAATAATATACAACATACCATTTTTAAGACAGGTCTTTGATTTCCTTGACTAGCAAAGAATAAGGAAAAGAACAGCCCCAAAATTAGAGCAAAGGCTTCTTCTCTGTATTTGCCAAACTTGCAAAGATCATAAGCCCTGAGGCATCGGTTTTTAACAGTGCATTTCAAATCATTTAACAGCATGAAAAAATTAAGCCTGTGAGGTAAGTGTTACTAATCAGAATGGTAAAAGGGACAAAGCAAGAAGCCACGCAATGTAATAAAACTTTGCAGGAGAGCCAAATAGTCCCACCACCTTACATCCATCAGGGTGTTGCTTCATTCCTCTCCAAGGACAGTATTCTGTTTAGTTTCACCTCCACATATTTCAACACAAAAACATATGTTTCTGTTTGCATGCGAAGAAAATTAAATTCCATTGTAAGCACAGCATGGGCTGGAGTCCCAACGCACACTATTAAATTCTGCAGTGCTCACGATGCTCCTCTTACTCAGTCTACTGTGGAGAACACGCTTATCTGACCCCGCCAACTCCCTGCACCACAGATGTGAGGATAAGAAAGCATTCACTATGCAGACTGCCAGAATAGCAAATGCCATTCCTGAATGCTGATGGCTGGCCCCAAAATTCCAGCTGGGAATGCCCAAGCAATAATGTGCTTCAGAAAAAAAAGAGACCATTCCCGTGCTGGCTTTGAAGAAAAAGTCTAAGGTGTTTTCCACTGCCTAAGTAAAGTGTTGAGAGAGCTTAAACAAACCAATCTCAATAAAAATTGTACTGGAACGACAGCTGGGGCCAGAAGCACAGCAGTACAGCTGGAGTGCTGGTGCCTATCTCTTGAGTGTCATGGCAGAAGAGCCTAAGAAACGGCAGCACGCTGGAAAACACACACAAAAGACGACAGATCTGGGCCTTTATAGCTTCCTGTTCTTCTACACAACAAAATATTATAAAATAAAAAATAGTCAGCATTTCACTCTTTTTCCAAAGCAAGAATGTTGAGCCTTGGTAATGTCAACAGCATATCCTTGTAACGGTGCCCACCATACGCTGTACCTTGGCGGGGGGGAAGCTTAAAACACGGACCGGGAAACTCCATTTTTGCTAAGAAATGTAAACAGTTTCCAGTGGCATATGCCTTCGTTGAATTAATTCAGTTTGCCTTTTACTGGCTTGGAATTGATCCCAGTAAGAAGGAATAAAAATTATTACAGCATATCTGTTTCAGGAGGTCCCACACGATACAAGCCCTGGCACTGCTAAATCCATTCCTTCGTCTGGAAAAATCCGTAACTCCTGCAAACCACCCATTCACGAGTTCCACCCAGGCTCTGGATGGATGAGGCCCTGGCACAGAGTATCAAAAGGCATTAGGCAGCGAGGGAAGCTATGGCAGTGCAACTTTTACACAAAGGTCAAGGCAAGAAAGAGACATTCTACAATTTGTGAAATGTACTGGTTTTCCATGTATTTTTGGTAATTGGTTCCTGAGAATAGAAACATGTTTATTTCCCTTAAGTAACGCTGCTTGCTGTAATAAGCAGCAGTAGCTGTAATATATAACCTACCTACCTTTATCACCCCTTGCCTTTGCACAAACTGCCAGGACAAAGTTCTGTTTGTTGTACCATTACAGATACTGTTAGCTATGACAATACGTGTGTTCTGCAGGCCAAAAGAGAACCCCCGCTGCCGAACTGCCTCAGACCATCCGGTCTCTTAAAAGAAAGTCACCTGCTCATCTTTCCTTTGAGTAAACGAAATGATAGACTTGTACAAAGGTATCAATTAATTCTGGAAAATAGTATTGGACAGATCATTCAACTACAAAAAGGCAAACCAGTATGTTTTTAAAGAGTATTACCTTGGATACAAGCTCATGTCATTGTGCAGCTCCCTATTTCTTTAAA